TGAGCCATATACAACGGACAATACGATGAGAACAGTCAAGAAGAAATTAGTGTGCTAGTAAAGTCACATCTTCGCCTACTTTCCATTTTTTTGACACATGCACTTCTGCGAAAACTAATAGGTTAAGCAAAATAATCCATAGTTTGCAAACAAAAGCAGGACAAAAAGAAAAACCAAACAACACTACCTGTACATTAATGAAAATACACATGCCTACACAAACAACACGTGTGCTCTCTATTCCAGCGGGTTCGATTTTTTAAATTTACAACATAGAGCAAATAAAGAGGAACTGGTTTGGTCAACACGCCAGTTGAATAGCTGTGTGGATTGTGACCTAAGAGTATTCTTTTGTATGCTCACATCTAGTTTGACAGTAGCAGTAAAGTTCATCAAGGATATCGGTCACCTTACTTTTAACAGTGTTCGGATTTATCCGACAAGCTAACCATTGACCGTATTTATCGGTAAGTTTACTGTGCATTTAACTGATGCTATCAAGCGTAATAGCCAACCCAATTCTACTATATGGCTGTAAGAATTAAAAAATTAATCGTATTCAACCGCTGGCAATTTTAACACTAGGCATATGGATTCAAATAGAAGAGATAAACCAACTAGATTTTCGGGGTTTTACCAACTAAACACTTAAGCCCCTTCACATAAATAAATTCTTCAACAAGAAAACAAACAAGATAACCACTGATCTATTGTGTTATTGATAGTTGTGCACTAGAGAATGTTCCAAGTGTGATTTATTTCGGTGTGTTTTTCTTCGGACCTTTCCTGGTCCTCTCATATCTTACTAATTTCTAAAGGAATCTTCCGCCTAATTTTCTATATTAGGAAGCTGAGAGTATCTGTTTTAATTCAGCCTCTTCTCTTGTGTTTTATAAATTCCTGCATCTTGTCTGTTCTCCTCTATAATTCCCCTTTATTCTTCCCCAGGTTGCTGAAAAAGGACTATGCTATATTGCTTAGAACTTTGAAGATTTTCAGTAGAACTAGTGATGTATCCCTTAACCTTCTAGTCGAAACTGTTGTGGACAAACATATTAACTCATGTAAACATCTAGCAGGAGTTATTTTATCAGATGACTAGCATCCATTTCACTCTCTGCGTGTCGGTCATCTGGAGAGACAAGGAGCAAGTACACAAGACTTTATGCATGTACTACAAAATATACCGTATTTAGCTCGTCTGCTGTGCTATGAAGAAAGCATTAGAAATGAACTAAATCATTAACTTCTGTTTTTCAAAGCGAACTAATTGATGATAAGCATGTCACTATTTGCGTAATATGAATCTAATTGCTAATGCGATTGTCTACCTAAATTAACTGCACATTGTTAAGAAAGTTGTAGATGGAGTGAATATTGTTATCTTTTTTGACATGTGATTTATACTTATTTCATTTTGCTATGTATACATGTACACTGTCTCTATCCAGTTGATGCTATATGACATGCTGAAAATTCTTTAGAGTATTCTTGGAATAGCTTTCAGAATAAAGCCATTATTATTATTATTACAAAATTCTTTCTCGTACATCTGTGTGAACTATTTATTGAAGCGTAATTCAATAATCGAAACACTAAAATTCTGAGTGACAGACTGACATAAGAGACAACCAAATAGATAATTATGTAGACGTAAAATAAGAACAGGACTCCAGTTAGAAACCTGACATAAAATTTATGAATTAGGTGTCAATGGCCGACAGAAATTTACCTCGTGTTACATTTTGAACTTATCGACATTGTTTCCGGTGCTACAGAATTCAGATTTTTTGGATCGTTTGTCTCTAATAATCGGCTTGTTCGTTTTACATCCGAATTCAGGGATGATACTGATGTTTGACAGAAATTGTTTAAAACCCTACAATCTATGCTTACATTTCGTTTGTAATCCTGAAAGATAGAAAAGAGAAGAAAGCATAAACAGTTCAAATTAATTTACAAAGAAATACAGAGATGGCTCACTCACGAAACTCTTAAGTTTGTTTATGGTGTGTATGGATGAATGCGAACAGGCGAATCTACATAAACACAGAGAAATAATTTTTATTTCTTCTACACAAAATTTAGGACAGTGGAGTGATATGATGAACAAAGAATCAGGCTAACCCTAAGTTAAATCTATTTTACATGAAAAATGGCATAGATATATAGACATACATACACACTCCATTAATAAACACGTTACAGCTGAGATGATTATTGATTCAGCCTAGTCCAATTTCAGGTCACTTGGGGAGAAAAGGAGAGAGAGAGGAAAAGGGAAGACAAACTCTTGAGGGCCAGATAGGGATTTAACAAAGACCTTACATTTAGGTCACTTCAGGTCATCAATGCCTGTGTGCCAGGAATAAAGAGGAATTAGAAAAAGATGGTATGGATACACAAGGTCATCAAAACAAACAAAGAGAATAAAGACTTTAAAAGAAGGCGCATCTAATACTAGAAATGGAGGAAGTAGCAATTACATGAGAAATGGAAACAAGAAAAAGCTATGCAGGACAGTTTTCGATGAGAAACAAGCAGGGGATAAAACCGAAAACTAACAAGAATCGTAGACATAAAAAGTGTTGCTTGGTTTTTGAAACAAAATTTATAAAACAAAAGGCGTTTAGGGAACAGTCACTCTTTTCATTCTTAAGCTATACAGTCACATTTAAACAGTGTTCACGTGATATCTAAAAAAGAATGTTTCATGGAGTATTTTTGAACGAAATTCAATTTTGGTGAAATTTTTAAATGTATTCTGGAATATTGGGACACTATGCGTAAACTGTAAACAAAACCAACTAGTAGTGAACTAGTGGTGATGGGAGAAACAACATGGACAGAAACTCTCGACGGAAGACATCTGTGCTGGAAATAAGGAAAACTATTGAAAAGATGCTGTAAATCGAATGTGAAATTCATCAAGAAATCAACAATTACCACTTGACTGAATCAGAAATCAGCGGGTTATTTCTGAGACGTATTGGCTTCTGTGTTTAAGTATATATTGAACCAAGAGAAATTAGTGAAACTTCTGAACTGACTTCACTGTAAACCGAATAATTAAAAAGTGCATAGATTCACTGCTTTATTAATAGTGCATAACATATAAGAAAACATCCTATATAAGTTCTTTTTTTTAAATTGTACTTACTAAAGTTAAGTTTTGAGCAACAAGGTACTGAGGTTGTAGCAATAAGGCCAGCTTACATTATATATCATAGACTTAAATTATAAAGTACTGAAAATACAATGCTATTTTGATTTAGAGGTAGACAGGTAGTCAGGTAAACTGAAAGTAATAACGCTAGTCAAAAAGGATTATTAAAATGAATTCAATATCAACAGTCAAACTAATCACTCTTCATCTTTCCTAAACTGAACGGAAGTTCATCAATTTTTAATTCTAACAACTTCGTTAGCATATTTCAAAAAGTGGTTATTTATGTAGTCCTACGAATGAACTCAGATAGGTAAATTAACTTAGAACCTAGCACAAGAGAGTAGAGATAAAAGTATACAAGAGTAAAGACGTTAAAAAAATGACAAGGGTTGGATGCATTTTTTTTCAACTCAGTCTTTATCTATTCCGGTTTCGGTGAAGGCTAAGCAGAAAAATATGCGAAGAATATATAAATCTATACCATAACTTAGTATCTGTACGATATTGTTCCGTAAGTCTGACAAACACTCCATATGTTACTGAAGATGCAAGGAGCGTGCGCATTTGTTTGTGTGTGTGCGAGGTAAAAACAACACATCGATTAAAAACCGAACGAGATGACGTAATGCTTATAAACATACTGATTTGCTTAGTAGTTTCCTTCCCACAGCCAAAAAAGATTTCAGAGAATGATAAATACCATGGACTTTAGAACACATTTGGTGTTTTCTACAAAATAAAAATGAATCTGCACAATATTTTGTGATACTTTTTCAAAGATTTGTACACTGAGTTTCAACAAGAGATAAATTTATGTGATAACTGCACGATACATACTACACAAATACGAAGGCATCCAGCTGTTAGCATATCGATATTTAATTCTTTCTTTTTCCATATTATCTACATCACAAGTGCTATCAGTTTTCCAACGGCTCTCATCAGCTGATGTCAATGTATGATGAAAACAACCTTCAAGTCAATAAATCTACAAATTAACAACTACGATAAAGAATTTGTTAAAAATAAAAGTCCAATAATGATCAATTAGAAAAAGAATGATATTTAAGATAAGAAGTTTGTATCTGAATTGAGAGTTTACTTAATAAAATCAAGACAAAAAGAGTTGAGCTTACGGATCTACTGTGTTAATAACTGGATAAAGAAATTGGATGGTGGACTTGTTTTAAATACTTAATTCTGGCTTCCACTTCTGTATTGCTAAGGATGTTTGCACATGGTAGTGGTGATTTGTCTTCTCATTTATGTTCAAAATTGGATGTTTACTATAAGTTATTCGTAGAGTTGAGGTATAGAATGTCGCTTTGACGTTTTTCAATATTCTACATTTCAGAATGTCATCTGCGTATTTCTGTTGAACTCAGAATTTAAAAGCTTTTTTTTTATCTACCCTGGCGTATTTTCCAGGAACACCTTAACGGTGTATATTTTAGCGACAAATTTTTCTGTACTTCTCTAATTACTTAATATTTAAAGTTTTATGTTGAGGGAAAGTCATCTAACATAGATCAATAGACAACATATTCACTTTGAAGCATCTAAGCTGGAGGTCTCTGACATGCAAGTATCTGTTAACCTTTGAAACATCATATTTATTATCCTTAAAGATGACAATAAAGCAATATTAGGATGCATTGATTGTAACTGCAGATACATGCAAGTTAAGCAATGATAGGGAAGTAAATACTCAGAGTTATTACATAAATAAGTTCTACTCACTTTATCTGCAAATAACAACATCGTTGAAGGTTTCGTGACAATATCAGTAGGAAACAGACAATCTTGCGACTGACTACAGCAACTAGTTTCGGATAATATACCACTAGATTCGCCTAAACCAGATGTTAGTGTTGACATATTATTCTGTGGATGAACAATTGCATTGAATCGATCCAACGAATTACTAATTAAGTGAAGTAAATCTGTGCCTTCCATATCATCTCATCGATGAAATCATTTGTGCTTTTTGAAGGTGAATATGTATCAAAAAGATGAGACGGACTTGTGCTACGGGCATGCTGTTCCGAAATATGAGGTCGAATATTTGTTAAAGTCCTTCCTTTAACTGGATACTGAAATAATACATTACATAGGTCAGTGACTCACTGAGGATGTAGAGGTGATTTAGGTTACTGTTTAATAAATCCAACATTTACAAATACCGGCAGAATATAAACAGGACTGATAAAGTTTGCTATTTATAAATGAATATTATTATACGAATGCGGTTTTACCCGATGAATTTCTGCCTATTAATCTTTGAAATGGATCTACGCATAAATCCTGTCACAGACGGAGTACATATACCACATACAATTTAGCGACTCCAGGTCAACGCAATAATAAAATAAATAACCTAAATCTTGTATGCATTATAGCCACCAAAGTTTAGAAGATTCTTTCTTATCAGTAGAGTCCAGACAACAACACAAAATGATGATCGTGGAGGTAAAAACAGCATCGAAAGATGCACCAACTGAAAGTTCACAAAATAACCCAGTACGAACCTAATCGACTGTTGAATTACATTTTTTAAAAACAAAACCTGGATGTCACTGACAGGAAAAAGAAATTTCTAAACAATCGATGATTTCAAACTTTAAAACTGACTGTCATACATATTATTATAATTTGCTTGGTCGTGGATAGCAGAACAATCCAGGACGTGCGTTTCATCCTATTTGGTACTCGTCAGCTGGATGTACCTGCACGCCAGTGAATGATGTTGTTCCCACTGAAACTTGAGCCTTGTACCCATCGCTTCGAACGCCAAAGCATTATCACTATGCTAAAAAAAGAAGTGTTGTTGCTTGAGTCCTCTTCAGTTATAAATTTGATGTCGCCGAAAACCTTGTTAGTTTATAAGTGTTTTCCAATTCATTTCTCTTAATGATGACAAACGTTTCATTCACATATCTGACCCTAAGTTTTGGTTTGATTAATGGTAATACCACAGTTTCCAATCTTTGCATTACCTCTTCTTCGATTAGCCCTGATATAAGCGATTCAATTGATGTTCCTGTTGTCTGTTTGTAGAACTTGCCGTTACGTTTGAAATATATCGTAAGGCATAGATCAATCAATTGTGGTTGTGTGTGTTCCAAGTTGTATGTATCACTAGTGGGGAGAAGAGTTATTGTAGTCTTGACAAGGTTTGATTTCATTGAAGTGTATAGAGCTGCAACGTAGAAAGAAACCATAAGTTCGTCGTTCCCAATGTGCATATGCTTGACCTTTTCCAAAAATTATGTCGAAGAGTTGATAGAGTGATCGTATGATTCTACCGGATGTTTCAGTTTCCTGAAGAGTTCCTTCGATAGATTATATGCTGTTTGTGGCTGATTCCACAGCAGTGAGATGAATTTTTGGAGGCAAACACCAACTTCAGTAAATCCACACTTGTAACTGCTTAAGTAGTCAACTACTAAGACAGTGTATCATAATTGTTTCACAGGAGAATCAGTGAGAAAAATGAATCAGTGAAACGTAGTGTTGCAGATTTTAGACCTCTAAGAATGAACGCTTAGAAAACTACCTGGTAGAAATTTGGATCTCGCCCTTCCGCGTCATTTTCCCTTCCTATGCACTGCTTATTTTGACTGATAGTTTTTCATTCGTTATGCTTTCACTTTTAATGTGCTAGTCCATTCGCTATACTAAAGAGTATTTAATCCGCTTATATACCGAAAGATGTACGCTTACGGACATTATCCTTTCGGTTGAGGTAAAAAAAAATCTAATGTAATGCCGTTATTTTTGGGTTAGCCGAGAGAAAGTATGGTGAAACACTTTATTTGTCAATGCAGCCAAATCAGATATCCAGAAAATTGACACTTCAACAATTTTCCAATTTAGGTCATTATTGTTACGACAAGAAAGCAAATGAAAATGAACTGAATACACCATTTTTGTCATCAATGGTTTTGCTAAGCAAATGCAATCAGAGAAGATAGATCATAACTCACTTTTGTATGGGGTTTCATTGAATTTGATGCAGAATGATTTACACTTAGTGTGGATACTTCATCGTTTGCACATTGAGATAGACATGAGGAAGTAGCTATCTGTGACTCATGTGAAGACTTAGCTTGAAGTGGGGGGTGACCAAAATGAGATACCACTACACCAGATTTATTCGTCGGAAGGGAATGATAAACAGAGATAGGGTTGGTGCATTCGACCAATTCTTCAGCGAAACCTTCATCTTCAACTTGTAGTGAGCTGACATCTACAACCACTGGAGATTTTGATGCGCACTTCGCTGTAATATTTCTTAAGACATTTAATCTGGAGCGACTAGAAATATGAGCAAAGTAGAAATCCAATTAATTTGTAAATTGTCATCAGTATCGTTGTCACTTCAACATAAATCGATTGTTACAGAAGTAGTTAAAAGTGTTGGTATTGATAAATTATCTATGCCACACTAATTTTCTTCAGGATTTTCCCAGACCTCTGAGAATCTTATTATTAGTCCACTACACATCGTATTTTGTTGCACCATTCGAAGTCCGATAGGCCAGGCCTTTAGCGCAATGATAGATAGGTACAAATAGGTGTTTATTTTGCCGATACGAATCATCAACAACAACAAACTGCAAATTAAGTGTGACCCAGCTTTATGCTGATCGCCAGCACAGCCAAGGAACAAATGGTGAGCTACCCATAAGCAATTAGTCTAACAGGATCTGGACTAAGTTCAGTACTAGTCGCTAGTTCTTAACTAACTTTATGAATCTATTTTCAAACACAAAACAGATGTGGTTGTTTATTTAAAACACAAAGTGGGTATAGTATGCGCACTAAACAGATCCAAAGACAGAAAACATGGAAACGAAAACATGAATGGATTTATAAAGAAGCAGTCTCAAGCATACATACAAAAAAAACAATCACTTCTTTTGCTTTTCAGTAATGGGAAAAAACCAAGAAAACTGAAGCATGATTGCTACTAGTAACTATTCGGGACCGTGTCTGTTAGCGGCCTAAGCCCTGAGTTGCGTAAACAATTTGGACTCTATTCAAAGAGATATATGGTACCGGGAGATGCTAACCCGACACAACTATGTTTAGTCCCACGGCGCTATTTCATACAGTGCCCACCTCTTCGCTTCTTTCAGCTAGTCCCAGGGAAAGCAAGCGATGATTATTGTGGAAGTCACTATGACATTTGTAATATTTGCTCCAGTCATCGAAGCTGGTGTTTCAAGATGATGTCACTGAATGAATAATGATGTCCATCACGCCCAAACACGCCCTGCCTTACCTCAGAATTGCTTACATGATGTCCTTACCAGATGCAGGTAATCTATAGAGGCAACAGTGATCGGTTGATCCTCTTATTCCCCACTGACAGATCGGAAAGACAGGTGCAGTTTGCTTACTTATAAATGTCTTTGACAACTTTTTCGAAGCTTATCCATTATCTCATTGTAAATTCAACTAAAACACTGACAATTAGAATCTTGAGTGGGGAGAACTTGTCACTTTTAAAGTACTATATCCAGACTAAATTGCGCCTGCAAAACGCAAACACGTTACAAAATAGAGTGCAAAAATTAAGTGTTATCTCATCCACATTTCTCTTCTGGAAGTAACAATAATATGATGTGACACTGAAAGGATGAACAATGTAGGTGTCAACTGTGTATCATGTAGACAGACAAAATCAATACAGAATCTTGCACAGAAGTGCATCGATCTAAGTTGGCACCCCTTACAGCAGTATACATGGAACAAGTGGGTAGAAATAGTGATACCAAAGTATACATAAGTACATTGGAGAAGTAAGAATTTAGAAATGAAAGTAAGTGAAAATGTTCAAACTTTAGAAAACGTCAAGGAGTGAATACATCGTCACCATTGTGACCGATTTTCAGCCGCATCATCAAAGCGCTCCAACTACTGATTATTATCGCCTCAAGGACTCCGAAGTGTAGTGCATATTGAGTAGGTGCTACAAATTACTTGACTTTCAACCAGCAAAATGGCTGACTACATTCCATTTAACGAAAAGACAGACTAAAACATCGGATTCTGGCTTGTTAACCAGATGAACTGAGAAACTAAACACAAAATATCTTTAGGATTCACAGTTAGAAAAGGAGCTCATAACTAGGTGATTTCAGGTCACAAGGTTTGATTTGCCCGACCAAAAAACACTGGAACCAGTACTAGAATCATATCAGTTTAGAGTGGGTGTATGTGACTGATTATGTACGGTTTCACAATGGATTCAGGTTTACCAGTAGTACTTGCAACTTTTCACTACCACTACCTACATCTTGATCTCTAAGTGATGACAACATGAATAATCATAGCACAATCCCCAAAGCGGTTTTTCTCAGTGAATAATAATGTTTACTGTACGAAATATCAAATAAACAATCTAGTGTGGAATAATACAATGGTTTCGACAAGGGAGGTAGGTAATGATGATGCTGATTAGGATTATTATTTCTCCACTTAAGTTGTTTTCCAAGTAAACTTATTTGGTGAAGAACAATTTTCAAACTTACGCTTCCCGAAAAGGAGTGATAACCAGTTAACACAGGATAAATCTAGGCATTTCAGCAGGAAGTGATTACACAGTAAACTGTGTATTTGACACTATACAATAATACACTATTTCGTAAACTGCATTTAAAGCAGAAACGATTGGTCATCATATCACACCACTTTGGTATGAATGATAACGAGCAATAATTTTTCGTTACACCCGCATACAAATCTAATAGCAAACTAGGCTTCTGTGTAAGATATAAAATTAGGACATAATATGTGGTACTGAAGCACGCTGTGTGGAGACGTAAGAAAATAATCACTGCACCACTGTCGTTTGATTATAGTGTTTCCGGTTTATTTTTGCTTAATGTTTATCAACGAAATGTTATGAAAAAACTCGGATCGGAACAGTGATAGCTTTCCTACACTAGTTAATTATAAGGTATACCACGAGTCACAAAGAAAAAGTAAGTCAGCATGGCATAGATTTTCATCCAAACTAAACTCACCTCTTAAGAAAGTCAAACTTGTTCTCAGAGAGTGATAGTTGACCCTGTCTGTAAATTAGGAGTAAAAACATCTAGTTAGGTATATTAATTCGTTAATAATTTTAAAAAAGTATTACTCTAACTATCCTACTCTTGTTATAGCCACCATGGTGTGGTGAATTAAACACTGGTTAGGTGTAGAAGAAAAATTTCACATATGACTCAACTGACCAGCATTCGCAAATGTACCAAGCTATATATTTTCTATTCAAATTCTGTCTCACTACGACTTATCAAATCACATGGTTTTCATCTCCGTGGTACAGAATTTTCAATCGCTGATTTCTTCATCCCAACTTTAGACAAGAATCAATTTCTCCATAACTGAAGGACTGATTGAGGAAAGTGGACAGAGCATTGCTAGCTGCTCAGTGTTCAGGATACTATTCAACATTCGACAGCTGCTGCACCGCAATATGCTTAAATATGCACATTTGTAATCAGTTGTGTTTGAAGTATCGCATGTTTCACATCATCATTTATGATTTGCTACCCCATGCAGTAGCTCATATCGAATGAAGTCAGTGAAAGCACAATTAACTACTTCCAAGTATGTTTCAAAAGTCACTTTAGAGTTAAGAATTTTTGAACCTAAACTTCACCCAGGGACAACATTCATGTGATCAAACAGTTCTTAAGCCCAAAAAGTGGTTAAATGTTCGTTTGACTTTAGAATACTAGTTAACCTACCTAATCGATGCTGAAACAGTTGATGATGAATCTGCAGGAATCCCACTCTGAAAGGAGTGTGGGAAGGTATGACCATTGACAGCTGTCACCTAAACACACTCTTTAATACTATGGTTTATGAAGAGCAAACTTTCAAACTAAAACCAGCGGCCCATGATCGCTCTTATTTACCTTAACTTTCTGACTTTTCATGGACCTGCCTCCTATCGTGAGATACTTTGAAAAAGTTAAAATAAGCAGATGGTGAAGCTCTGTTAAACAAAACCCTAGTGAGATAGTTCCTTAGATAAGCTGTGGCATCAATTCTTTGAACACCTGATGGGAATGCAAGAGTCCTCAGTAGGAACTTAGCGACTTGAAAAATAATAGGAATATCACAAATAGTTCATACTGGTAACAAATATAAGTAGATGTCTGGTCTCACTGAGTATTTTATTTACTTGAATGGGGCATTAGGCGCTCCATCGAGGTAGCAGCTTACTAGATCTCCAAACAATTACAGAGATTTATTCGTATCCTATCTACACATTAAGACAAAATATTAGTGCTTTCAACCACTGAATGCACAGCATAGTGATCAGCTCAATTCTATCAAATGTTTGAGATATATGATCGTTGATGCTTTTACTCCCTGTGTGTGAGAACACTAGGCGAGTAACACTGATGTGCAACGTCGATTAATAAACGAGAAAGTGAATTTAGTTTGAGAAGCTGTGATCTAAGAATTAGCGTGACTGTGGCATATGTTGAGGATACCAAGCTGAAGAGATTAGAGTAATCCGATCGATGCACTATGTTAGTCTATGAGGCAACTGAATAGTAGCTTGAAGTACAGTAAAAGTCCGACCCTCATGAGCAGCGTCTCTTACAAATCTATACACAGAAATCTGTAACACAGTTTGATATGCTGATAAAAATGTCCAGGTATAACGTAGGAGTACACTGTAAACTTCCGAGTTGTCACATCTCATACAAGCATATCACAGTAGAAGGGAAGAAGAGGGGGCATATCAATGAAAAATTTATAAGTGGTAGGAAGTCATAAGACAAGAAGCAAATAATGGGATAAGGTACAGCAATCTAAACAAGAAGACATGACTGCAGAAATGCAACTAACTTTTGGCTATACTAGCTCTTCTCCTGGCACCGATTTCAGTCATTTTGCAGACTTCAATTAAGTCAAATAATACTCTTCAATATAATCAAGACTAACAGTCGGAAAAAAGTCGAAATCCACTCAACAAACTTGTGCACATTGGTGCACACCCATTGTGAGGGTTAATGATGCTACCTGACTGCCGAAACCCAAGTAGGTGGAGCGGTGTTCGAACCCGTATCCCACTGGTTGAAAGTCAGTTCCCTTAACCAATGAGCAACAACTCTTAACTGTCACTCATTGAAAACTGAATACGCTTAGTTTTCCTTTCCAATCTTAAATTCAGCTCATATCAGATGTTGCGGTGCCATGTATGATACACCTTACCATTTTAGTTGATTTATTAGGTGTATCACGACGGAACACTATCATTCATAGGACAATTTACTGTCCATAGTTATATCAAGAAAACTCCACAATTTCAGATATGGTTTATATATTCATATCCATGAAAAATTTGTGCATTGTGAAGAAAACCAATTTATTATAAATATATATTTATTATAAAAAGGTTTATATAGTTCTAAATTTCTCGCCTCCTTTGTGATATAGGTAGTATGATTTTCCATATATCCGGAACACGTACGGAGTCAACCCTGTTGCCCTTATAAGATGCTGACTCAATATATATATATATATATATATATATATATATATATATATATATATATATATATATATATATATATATATATATATATACGTACACAGAGAGAGATCCATCATGGACTGACATCATTTGGGGAACCACTGGAAATCTGGGGGCACTACACAGCTGTTTCGTGATCTGTGGGGTCAATCAGTCGGAAGTGAAGCGTATGTCAACTGAAGACCTTGGGTGATAGTTGCGCTATATCATGAATTGACAAAAGTTGGAAATTGTGAACCATAGTAAACCGATTCAGCGGCTGAATGGCTAACGCGTTCGCCGTGAAACCTGAAGGTCCTGACTTCGATCCCTAGCTGGGTCATGGGTGCGTGTTGCCAAGGAGTCCCATACTAGGACAAAATAGCTGTTCAGTGCTCCCAGGTTTTCAAAGGTTCATCATCAATATCAACATAGAGCCAGGCGTTACTGCGTAACGGTCCGAGTCACCACAGCTCATATCAGTACATCAAGTAAAAAGGCAGTGAGGCGCAAGATGAAGATAAGAAAATTCAGCCAAAAGAAATATAAAGGTTTCCCAACTGATGTCAGTACATGATGAATACTACCTCTAAATTCAAAATCCCCATTCAACTCAAATATATATGTATATATACCTTAGTTACTACGACTGACTTCGTATCCGGTTTCTTGCACTGAAATGCTAATAATTCGATACACGCTTTTCTGGGTTCAAGTCCTAGTTTATTGTCACATTTAAACCCTATGTCTCACGTAAATGTTAAGATTAGGCGCATGTAAGCAGGAAGTGAATCAAATCCCAACCTTTGGTGTAGAACACTACAAGGCTAGAGTGGTACTTTGTGATACAGAAGCAACCTGCCTTCGCAAAACATGATAATTTCATAAAGTATGGGAACAGCATGCAACTTCAACGAATAGCGTTACTGATGCTATCAGGAATAAAGTAACCATTTTTGTGCACAAACCACATTTAAGTGTGATTGTGTAGCTGGATAGGATGATGATCATCATCATCATTATCAACATAGGACCAGGCATTACTGCCTCACGGTCCGAGTTGCCACACCTCACGTCAGTTCATCAAGTAAAAAGGTAGTGAGGTGAAGGATGAAGATAAGTGAATACAGTCAAAAGAAATATAAAGTACGAGAAGAAAGGAAAGAGGAGTGACAAAATGGTGGGATTCGGTATAGCGTTGTTAAGATGAGGATAATGTGTGTATACATCTGTGCCACTGACATCGGTTCTGAGCCATATCACCTAGGGTCTCCAACCACTGGTTCCTCTTGTCCCGTGGACCCCGACCACCTAATCTGCATCGTCCTGCATGGCTTAAACCAACAGTCAGAGACTTCATACATTGGTGCCATGTTTTAGTCTGGCCACCTCGGGCCTTTTTCCAGCCTGGACCCACCTCAGCCAACATTGTGTGACGAGGCAATCGGTAACTAGGCATACGTAGTACGAATAGGATGATGTCGTGGAAGACAAATTTGTCCGCTAAAACCTTCGTTACGTTACAAGTCAGTGGAAACATTTAAATCTTTGAAAAACCAAATTCACGGTGGTAATATGAGATTTTTGATTCGTTCACTATTTCAGCAAAATCTACACTTTTGATTCCAACAAATCCAATCTAAATAACCATAACTACCACCGAAATACAAACCCTTCTAACGAAACAACAGTACATTTACTGAAAATTTGTTGCTAAATAAAGTGAGCTCCGCAAAACCTAGTAAATTACAACAATAAAGTACGATGCTGAAAATAAACGAGAAAGTTAATCTAGAAGTTTACACAGATCCATTCGTTGAATTTGACACACCGTCCAACAGCATACAAAAAAGCGGGTGGAAAAACAATACTTTTTATGCGAAGGACTGAATAGTTAAGAACGTTTGAAGTTCAAGACAAGAGCATACAACCGTGTACGTTGTCATGGGTTTTTAATTCACACAACCAAGTCCTAAAAAGTGGTTTTTATCATCTCGAAGACAATAGCTTACAGGCTCAGATTACCTATCAGACTTTACAGATTGGTTCTGCATCAGGGTCGAACCATCCTTAGCTTTCTTTCAGTCTGATCACACTTCACATAGTATCAAACAAGGTAAGTGGTGGTGACAAGCACATATCACAAACACAGCCAGTAAACGTTCACCAACCCTGCCAGGACAGTGAAGAGGATGTTACAAAGCTTTCTAATTGGATACTTGTTCAGGATACTAACAAAAACTCAGTGGTTTTGGAACATTGAGTGAAGAAAAAAGCAGTCTACTTGTTTATTATAATTAATTCAATTACCCCGTATCCTGTAAGACGATATCGATAAACTGTATGAATGAATTTTGATGACAAAGACGTAACCCAGTAGGCAATCAACAACCATGCCCAGTAAATTAAACTAATGCAACTTAATCTAGCACCCTCACACACGGCAAAGAACCACATTCATTGTGCGATGCTAATGATATTGGTTAGCTATACAGACTGAAGTAGGTGGAAGGGATTTTCAATTAGGGGTCGATTGATTGAAATCTGAGTAAGCAAGCCGATAAGCCAAATTTTTCCAACACCAAACACCACTACTGATGCTCCTAAGAATCAAGACAATTTATATAAATCTACCGAAACCAGCACGCACTGAAAATCATCTTTCAGTGTGAATATTAGTGGCTAGACTACCAGGAAAGTTTGCCTGAACCCTTTCCAAAAGCGTTCTCACGTGGTACTTATATCTGTGGGTTACTGTATGATCACAAACAAGAATGGCTATTTTAGGACACATCGACTGGAAGAACCATATAATCTTGACGCCTTTGAGAGACTGGCGAATGAACTTGAACGCACCACTAATAAAAACGTCGTTTCTTTTCAGGTTTAGTAAATAGATGAAGTGAAACTACAGTAGATATGGGCTCTTAATGGTGTTTACGAAGAGATCCGGTCTCGACTGCCTTTTCCTCCTTAAAGTAAAAGTGCTTACGATAAAGATATTCATCTACGTGACTACAAAACACTAAACCGCCTGATTTATAATTTGGACGTAAATCTGCCGTCAAGTGGTCCTATATCGCCTTTAAATCATTTGTATGAACCCCAGTAGGATTATTTAGTAACAAGGTTGAAAATTTTAAGACAACATTAGGTTCATGACATTGAATGCTAGGCCATCTATAAATTTCAAAGTACAAGAATATTCTAAAATCAGTAGAACCTCTTCTTAGAGCCGGTGGTTTAAAGTCTGTTCTTGCTCTTTGTTTTCTGCATCATGACTAACTTAATGAGTGCTGCGAAGTCATCTAAAATTAAATGGTATAATCAAGGGAGGTAAAATGAAGGTTGTAACTAGGTGCAACCTACTATTAGAGCACATTTCGATGGGCAGTTCATGTCCATGACTTTGCCTTTTATGTGAAATGCAGTCAAATGAAAATCCGGTCAAAAGTAGAAATAATGCGAGAGCATGACAAGCACTTTTTTCCGATCCAATCAAAATTATCAAGTGTGCACAAGCCTACCTACAATCAGCGAAATCCTTCTAACAATCTAGGTCTCCCCAAAACGACTACACAGTTACCTTCAACTTGGCTGACCACTCTAAGGTTCCTTGGTAGTCGCCCAAAGACGGCAGGAAAAAAGTTCCACCGACTGCTTAATCCTATTATGCTGAGCACAAAGCCAATTGTATCAACTGGTTGGAACTGTGCACTGATGGTTAATCCAGACATTTCTGATGTCGAACCAGAGTCCTGCAGTTATCGCGCAGGGAATTATTTTCAAGCATGAAATTATGAGTTACTGCTGACAGAAATAAGAGTCAGTCAAAAAATACCGGGTCCACCGTAACTGCATGTGACGTTCATGGACGAGTTTTCTGCAGCAAATACGAACCGGTGCTAGCAAAGGGAATACTCATACATTGGTTAATAAAGTGACAGGAGATGCTGAGTGCTGGGAAATAAAGTCACTGACCACGGTTTCCAGCAGATACGTGGTGTTAGCAACAAAATAACTCACTAGTTATTGGGTAGTAACTTTGAAGGCTGTTAGTTATAATAAGTAAGTGATATTTATGAACAAATTTGCAACTACGCGTTCTAGTCATAACCAATGGGTAAGATTATATACAGTAGTGGAATTAGTATTTAGACCACGTAAAAAATGACTCCAAAGTGACGATCAGTGAGTGAACGCCTTCAAGATGAAGCCATAATGTACTTGGTTACCGTTTCTAAAAATTCAGTGATCAAATGACGGTCTTTTACCAACTTCGTTATAAATGGGCAAAATATGTATGAATTGAAAACTTACCCGCATCTTTTACTTCATCACTCGGAAAGAAGTAACTTTCGTTATCATCCGATGTATTTCCCTCGTTATATGTATTTTGTTTTTTTTTCCTCCTGAAACGCTTTTTCTTCGAAACAGATGAACAGTCATTCTCAGCGCTTCCTACTTCGGTAAAGTCTTCGATAGGCATCACGATCGATTTCTTCAATGCTGCGCCAGTGAAACTAATTGGCTTCGACTTCGTCAAGGCAGGAAATTCCTCCAAGTCTACAAGGTTATGCTTCGAAGGCTCCAAATGACAGTCTAGTACAAAACTACACCCAAACATTTTCGAACTGCAGGCAGATAATAGAGATGTATTGCTGCTGGAAGGATAAGTTCCACGGGTAGCAAACATCAGTTGCTCTTTATGCAATAGTCGGATACCGACTTTCTTGAGTAATAAGCGTATCTAGACAGTCACAATTCCTGGTCCTTACACAAATACGTCGACAAACAAACTTCACAGCTAACTGGAGTTATAAATGCGCTTCCGAAAAGTATCATCAGTAGTTATGTTTAGTGTATACAAACAAACTTCAATATCCAATAGATGCCCTGAGAGTTTCTAGAATTTAGGTCAGAAAGCTAGGTAACAGACGACGACTCCCAAAAAACTGAATATAGCGGTCATTACAGTTTGTGTCAAAACTTTTCAAGAAAGGTGCAAGAACGAATTACACGCGTATACAATTTGGAGCAAAAACACATTCCTATAAGTAGACAATTTGCCAAAGTTTACTGGCTTCTCAGTAATGTCTTTTATGTTAATCAGTTCTAAAAGGGAGGAATCAACAAAACCGGTCAGAACTGGAATGATTACTTGGGATACAGTAGGTAGTATGACGTAAACCCTTAATCCTTAGTGGGAGAGTGGAAATAGGTCAGGTCAATCATATCCTTCCTTGTACAACAGTTATGAGGAACGCATTGAACATTTTTAGTCTCTGGTTAGTGTATCTTCTCATTTAAGCTGCCACCTCACTGCCTGGCAGATTAAAGATCCCAAATTACGTATGTTATATGCCGGATATCAGGTCCGAAACGCCTCCTCATTGAAACAATGAAATGTTGTTTGAACGGGCAGTGATATCCGAGGAGCTTTCGCAGCTGCTACTTAGCAGCCTTTGTGACGTAAAAGTTATGGTTTACAATAACTCCGGGATCCCAGTACTCAGAAAACCTGAGAAGTCGAATATCACTGGTCGTGTAGTCGTGTGGATCGTCAAGGACGATATGCATCATCGATGCCTACATCTTATCCTCTACCAACCATTCCATTCAATCAGTGAGTCTGTTCCTTCATGTGTTGGTAACTTGTCGTCTTCTGTGGACATCGTTCTCCAAGAGCTAACGTCTTGTAGAAAGCACACTGCAAAGTGATTCCTATGTATCTCGTAGCAAACTCATGAAAAAAGGGGTAATTGAATTTTGCCTTATGATGTGCCAACCTGCACTGGTTTCCATTGGGACATCATACAGTTGTCGTCTTTGCGAGATGTCAGGGAAGATTGACTTACTTGTCTGAGTAGTGCACAACTAACCAGAAAATTTTTGGTGTTGTCACATCATATAGTGAGTATGCTATCATTATTTATCGATTTATATGTCCCTTGGGTTCCTAATGGAACATAGGGCTTCAGTAGCACGTCTCCAGTGCACTCTGTTCTCTGAAATCTTCTCAACCTGGCTCCACGACAACCCAGAAGCTCTCATTTCCTCCTCGCATGATCTCCTCCATGTCACCCTCGTCTCGGACGCCCAACTCGTTGCTTCCCATCTGGGTTCCACTCGAGTGCTTGACGCGTGACGCCCCCAGTCGGCCTTCTCAGTGTATGTCCAATCCATCTCCACTTCCTTCCAATGCATATTTGTTGAGCGATAGCTTCTTGGTTGGTTCGTTGTCCGGCCAGAGTTCCTTGTTGCTTATTCTTATTCTTCTGGCCATCTCAGCTTCAGTAACGAGCCAGCGTAGGCAGTTGTTGATGAATGTCTGTAGTTTGTTGGGAATGCCTTTTGTAACGCGCCAAGTCTCTGAACCATACAGGAGCACTGACTTGACATTGGTGTTGAAAATCCGGATGTTGTTCCACATGTTGAGTGTAGTGCAGTAGATCTCCACACTGGTTTGAGGCTAATGAACGCCTGTCTTGCTGTCTTTCCGATCCTGACTTATGACGTCCTCGTCTGTGCCGCCACCTGTAGTTGAAACAGTGCTGCCTAGGAGGGTGGGTGAAGGAGTTTACTTCCTTTAAGTTTCTCCCGTTGATGGTGACTGGAGTTTGTTGTTGTTGTTGTTGTTGGTGGTGGTGGTGGTGGTGGTGTTGGTTGGATGTCTTCATCACCTCTGTCTTCTCTATATTCACTTGAAGTCCCGTCTTCGCTGCTCTGCCTCTCCTGTCAACTTGTTAGTTTTTGCCTGTAGATCTTCAAGTTTGTGTGACATTAGACACAAGTCATCGGCGAAATCGAAGTCTTCTAGGTTCTTTTCCCCAGTCCAGCGTCTCCCCCTCTTCTCACAGCTCCACACTGTTTGTTGCATGATCCAGTCCACCACAATCAGGAATATCATGGGTGATAGTAGGCAGCCCTGTCTCACTCCTGTCTTCACTTCGAAAGCATCACTGAGCTGAGCTTCCCATTGTGAATTACTTGGCTGGCATGTGGCGTCTTCATATAGTTGTTGAATGAGGCTGATAAAGGTTTGTGGTATTCCGTAGTGTTGAAGCGGTTATCAACTCTGTGTTAAACGTGGATCGTCCTCAACAATGCATTAAACACGTAACACATTTCTCGGAAAATTTGAATGAAATTCATCCTCGTGAAATATTGACATCAATATAGACTTCAGATTTCTACTGTCTTGTATTCTGTACATCAATTCTATCCATATTAACCTGCTAAACATCTCTCAGAAGTGAAGCTGTATCAGCCAGAATTGTCGAGCCGGCGTAAACATGCAATCACGCCCGTAAACTCATGTATGCCTGAATTGCTAGGGATAAAACTATTATCATTGTTAATAATCAAAAACCTTACCAAAGCGGATAAGCAACAGATCCACAGGTTCATTTTCGGCAGTCGATGGGAGTCCCTCCCCGCTTGAAGGAGGTAATGGCCTGTTTTGAAGGAACGCCGTTTATTGGCTACAAATGTGTCTGGCCTCAAGTAATTCAGAAATACGTCGCATACAATCCATCTCAATAGATTAACGACTATGCTGTCCAGAATGAGTGCATGGCGGTTTACGAATAATAATTAACCCACTTTGTGGAAGCGTAAAACAGTAAGCGCAACCCACCTGAATGTACGATGAAACATCATGCCAAAAAACAGTTTCAACTAACGGTACGGATATTCCAAGCCGACAAGAAGAACATCGAAATCCTTAACAGGAAATAAAAATTGACGTTAGAGGGAAGAAACTTCTCTCAAAACTACTCATTTCGGACACCTCATAAATATCACATCCACACAAGTTGAGGTAAAACTTGAGGCGGATTATGATTGAAGCCATGGAGGAGACTTCTCTCTTTCAAGAAGTATATGCCTTCAAATAACTCAGTCAATTTTTCTTTAATTCTCATGAATCAGTGTTGTGGCGGAACGTCTAAACTCATGAAGTAGATCGACCTTTCATACGAGATACATTCAGTTACCGGTGTAGTCACCTAGATCTCTCAAAGCCTGAAGATATCAAGTGAGCCGAAGATAGATCGGTAGAAATAGTGGATTATAAACAAGGGGATTCACCTTTCGCATCCACTGCAAACTCATGAAAATGATATTACACCCATATAGGTGCAGGCATAAAAATTTACCTTATTTAACATGTGCCAGAGTTGAAGAGTCTGGCTACAAGGTATAGGTGAAGAGGTCGCAAGAGATTTCAGACAGAGGCGACTTTATATGTTGCACCAAATACTGCACGTCAGTGAGGCAGATTATGATTGAAGCCATAAAACCGGTACTCATACCAGCAACATACAAAATGTGAAAATGGCCTCCTGGAAGCTCCCTGTCAACTTTTGCGCGACCTACTATGCCGGTGTAGATACAACGAGAATCCCTACGCTATTGGCATTTAGAGTTGCGGCTTCAAAACACTGAACACACAATATGCACTATAATCTATGCGAGCACGTGTATCGACCGCCGACAAAGAAAAACATCGACTCGGCTACTATTTCATAAATGTCTACACAAATCTCAGGGAATATGGTAAAAGCTTGCATACCAATGTTTCCTCCCGAAACAACAATTACATCTAGTGACTACTGGATGCTATTAGGTGGCCTGCAATTTCGTGTTTGAAGAATGTCTCCAACTATATCTGCATGATAGTGAACATGAAATCATCCACCTCCAAGCTAACTGACACGAGGAGCATTGCTTTGGCTAAAGTGGCAGTGTAGCTCGTAACGAAGAAACGAATTTCAGCATTTCCGAAATCCAAACCGGTGCTGATCAAGTTGAGACCATTTTCTTCTCAAACAAGTAACACATATTCCAGTTACTGAGGAACTCCGTGAAAAATCGTTCCGAAGAGCGCAAAACTTAACCACAAACCCTCAGTTTTATGGCTATTGCAGTTTCCAACCACAAAACACGGTGGTTCTTCGTGTCTAACAAGAACTTCAACATAGACAAATTGAATGAGGCCAAACGAAACAAATGGATAATGTCTCCGGATACATAACAAAAAGAAGACCGAAACACACGCAAGAAGCATGCTCCTATCGTGATTTGTACCACGTTTTTCGATGTGTTATTGTTGGGTGTTTTGGCAACAAATATGAAACACCGGGTATAATATAAGAATGTCTTCCCTAACATGCCGGTGTGAGTTAAGAGATGACTTCGGATGGGTGAGGTTAGAACTCATCCACCATTAAGTGATTTTTGGACGCAGCCTCTTCAGATTATTGAGAAGACAGCAATTCATGTACCTGATCTTCCTTAGAATATAAGCATTCAAAGCTTGAGCTGTCGGGAAAGGAGAACAGTGTTTGGCCAAAATCCTCTGGGATATGGAATACAGGGCGGGAAGCTTATGGTGGCTTGCAATGCTCTGAATACCCGTGCACACCTACTACGTAACTCATGTTACCTTAGCTGCCACGACAGTCTTAGGGAACACTAAGAAGTTAAGCCTGGGACAAGTTAAGACATCATGAACGGCTTGTAAACGAATAAATAGATGTTTTATTCTAACAATTAATTTAACATGAGAGAAGCCAGCCTACAGACATCATCACGTTGAAATATGTCGAAAAATAAACGAAATTTCACGACTTCTGAACGGTACGGAGGGTGTCATTAAACTCTGTTGAAAAAATTAGAAGATCCTGCTATTCC